AACAAACTTTATTGTGGAAAACATGTTTAATGCTTTGGCCAAACATCTTCATAACAACAGTTCATCGTTTCTGTGCTTGATGTAGATTTTTTGTTTATGCTAAATCTTTGATTCACTAATTATCTACACATACTAAAATAACCAGCTATATCATATATTGCCTCGCTTCCTATTATACTGTTACGTATCTGCTTGTTTGTTAATTTCCGAAAGAAATTCTTCACCGATATAAGTCATTTCTTGATTAAACCAGTTTTTTCTTTCTCGATACAAACTTTTAGTACACACTAATTTCATAGTCAGGATGTTTCTCGTTACTTTAAACTTAACAACTTTTATAATACACAGAGATTCAAAATCTCGATAACTTCGCCCAAAACTTACCGTGACTACTGTTCGCTTTATCATACATTCATTTTCACAGGCTTATATATTAAAAAAGAGGGCGTCTCGAACAAACTCAGTCTTTCCCGGTAATTCATGACCATTCGAGAAATTCATTACGTGTTACCAGCGTCATGTGACTTCCGCTGTCGTAACACTGCCTCTCTTAGCATAGTTCGTCCCGAACAATAGCCACTTACATTAAACCAATAGATAATTAACAATAACTTAAATAAATGCACAGAATTTACAAACACAAAATTAAAATACAACAAAGTCTCTTAATTTTACAGGACGTTTCTTCTTTCCTACTGATCTCCGTCTCATTGGCTTCTGCTTCACGTGGGATTCATCTGCTCCACCAGGAAATGTCCCATTATCGGTAGCAGTCACATTAGTGGTGTTAACTTCATTAACGGCTTCACTGTTTTCCCTCTCAAAACCGGGTAGAGTTTCTTCTCCAACAGTGGCTTTTTCAGGTGACACGTTTTCAGCAACGTCAGTTGTTCTATTATTCATTTCGTTCCAACTGAAATGTCCTGGACCGTGATAGTGCCAAAGCCTGTTAGCATGCACCACCTTTGGCTTACCTAGCCGACCACATTTTATTCGGAAAGTCATGTCTGAGAGACGATCCACTATGTCACATGGGCCTTCCCATGGAGAATACAACTTAGGAGACTTCCCTTTCATCTTCCTGGGATTATACAACCACACCTTGTCTCCTGGTACAAAACTGAATTCAGTAGATTTCTTATCAATGTGATTACTTCTGTAAAAAATATAATTATAAAGCGTCTGTTAAATGTAGAACTTGAATTAAGTAGCATACAATAGAAAATCACAAGTTTTTAAATATCATAATGTTTATTTATCAGTTTAATATAAACACGTGTTAAGTGATACTCTTTTCCTTTACAATAAATAATTATTTTTCATTAATAATACAACAAATAATTTATAAGAATTTTGAAATTATCAGTATTGAGAATCACTAAGATTTTTGTCAGTTTCAAAGTTGTAACGTTCTTAAGAAACAGGAAGATTAATTTTTTTTATATTTTTAAAGCTCAAATAATAAAAAATATAACAGTATTTCTACTATTCACCATATTTGTCATCTCCACCTCAGTTCTTCAATATTTTAGTGCCTTTGTATCCATCAGTAGATGGCGCAATATTCACTTATGATAACTTCAGATCAACATCATTGTACATCTTTAACAAGAATGAAACTATCATCCACTTATCTTCTATAGTATACTGGTATAAACGAAGAAGAACATTCATCAAGTCAGCTGTGAAAGGAATAACTTAGTGAGTGAGTGGTAAACTTTATCCTGTAATAGTAACATTTTCTTGCCTGCACAAAGTATTATAAAATTTGAAATGATGTTCCTGGGTGGAAAATTCGTGAGTGTCTTTAAAACAATACTTATGGAATATAATTCTATTATTTTTGTATTCTGGTATAAAAGGTATGTGTACAAGTGTATAGTTTCATCTAAGAGCATGTTTTTAAGAGACACTCTGTATCAAAACTAACCGAGTAAGTTGTCAATATTCAGATCTTGTGTATATTGATAAGTCGACTCTGTCTTCGATGTGGTATTCATTTTTGTTTTATGGTTTCAAACACATAATTATTATACTATTAAACCAATTTTTATGTTTCAATATTATATATTATCATTTCCACCGAACATTCCTCACTTAAAACACTTTCACATAATCGTAATATTTTTTACAAAATTCGATTTATCGTGTAATTTTCACCCATTTTCTGGCTAGATATAATTAACTTGGTAAAGGGACCGTTTTAAGAATGACATAATAAAATGGAAATATAGAATTTAAAATCTATCGATGAAATGCTATAGTTTACTTTCAGGTTTAATTTAACTGAACGTAATTTATGATGCTTGTTTTATTGTAAGCTACCTTTTCTGATTTTAGTTTGGTTTATGTATACGGACGTAGATGTCTGTATATACAAAGCGGTAACTAGAGAGTTTTTACGTCTTGACCAGGAATAGTATTTATATAAGTGAGAATTTTATTTAATGACAATATTTTATAGAAAATACTCTTGTAAAGTTTGTGTTATCTTTCTCTCTTTATGTATTCTTATTGGCTATATATAATTAATCCGGTAAAAGGACTGTTCTAGGAGTGGTATCGTAAACTGGAAATATAGAATTTAGTGAATTTTTAAAGTAATGAAATTATAAAGAAATGTATTACCTTCTAATATAGTAATTCTCTGTTTAGCCAGATCTGTTAATTCTTCCAGAGTAGACGACAGAGAATCGATAATTCCTTCCATTATTTGCTTAGTTACTGTTCTACGTTTTAATTAAAATAAGTTTAAAACTTATTTCAAAATAACAATAATCTATATACATATATAATGTATAATAATCGAAATTTGAATGTATTTTACAAAATACTAGTCTACTAAAACACAGCCAAGACAAGTTACTTTGCACAGACCAAAGGTTATTTTTATGCAATTTGATAAGGTAACATGAGTGCACGTGAGCCGCGTCATTGCAACTCCTGTATTGTTAGCCAGACACGGCTGGAAGGTCAATATAATAAATATATATAAATGTAATGTTATGAGATTTAAGCTATTTAGTCTAAACATTTATATTTTCGTGTTATAATTTGTGTTCATCCTAGAATGAAAAAGGCATAATTTGTATTTACTTCCTAATTTTTATGTTGGTTGCGAGATCGGTCAAATCTACCGAACCCGTACAGAGATTAATTACTGAAAATATAAAGTTTTTTCTTTAGAAACGTTTGATATCTATCTCGACATTATAAAGATTTCGCACGGAAAGTTTCAAAATTTTCTGACGCATAAAAGTATTTTTATCTTAAAATGAATATTACTTTTCATGATAGATAGGCAACATGTTAAAAGAAAAAATAGACATGAGAAAAACATTGCTTTTTAAACCTTAAGACTTAAGAAAAGAATTGATGTTTTGCGTATGAAAGCGTTAAAATGTTTACTGATAATCTACCAAATTTCGTTAAGGTTAGGTACTAATTTAAAAGTTATAGCAAGAAAACTATAGCAAGCACAGAATGGTTACGAAGTCATCACATTAACTGACCCCGTGTTGAAAGCGTTAAAAACATTCCCACCATTGACTTTGATTGAATCAAGTAGAATTTAATCAAATATAAATATTATCAATAGATGTATACATCTTTAAAGACAAGAGCTCCTTTGTTGTATTATAGAAGTGAACATGAAAAGTCACGTATCAGCCAGATCCATGCTTTCAACAACTTCTGATCATGAGATATAGTGACGTCATGAAAATTCACTTCAGATATCAAGTTGCTTTGTACGACGGCAATAAAATCCTTGGTACTTAGTGTAATCCTCAAAGGAGAATACAGCTCAGTATACGTGTCTATCCTGTACATCATGTATTATATAGTTCTGTTATTATGTATTTTGCCTCTCTTCTTGTTAACCCAAGCTAATGTTCATCACCACACTGTTTGTAGTACTGTTGGTTCACTGGAAGGAATTGTCAATTCTCTGTTGTCTACTGTGGAAGAATTAACAGATCTGGCTAAACAGAGAATTACTACATTAGAAGGTAATACATTTCTTTATAATTTAATTACTTTAAAAACAACGTTTTCGTATTAATATGAGATAGCGTTAAGGAAAAGAACTTTCATTGATTTTAGTATACTGGTAGGTATTTTCAAGTTTTGAATGAATATTGATATAAATTTATAATTATACTTTACTATCTGTTCTATTCCAGACCATATTCGTTCTAAACACGACGTGTTTCACACCATAACGCCCATCTCGACCAACGCAACACAAATTAGAGAAAGAACCTCTCTACCGGTAGACTGTTTCGCCATCTATCATCACTTAAATCAAACAAACGGCGTCTTCAAGATATGGCCCAATTTTCTGAACCACCCAATCCCTGTATACTGTGATATGGAGACTGTAGGGGGAGGGTGGACGGTTGATGATCCAGTAGAAGTCCGTGATGTCCAAAATACGTACGGAGAAGATACTAGGTTAGAAAAATAAAGACTTTTAATAATATGAACACACATTGTTAATTTTAATATTTTAAAACTACTTATAATGTCCCTTTTTTATCACAAAATCACACATATATTCGTAAAAAGAAAAGAAAAATTATGTTCCTACCGTCTACTTGTAACACAGTCATTAGGCTGCACGATACTATAAACCTGAAACAACAATTCAACTGCAGCTTATAAAGTTCTGGTATTATTATTACAGTGATTATACCGTTGATATCGTGAAGAATTAAAGTTGAGGTAAGATATATATAGTTTATAGTAATATATTTGTTTATTAGACTCCCTTATATAAATACAATTATTAATTATCTTTATTACTGGCAAATGTTTCAGTATGATATATATGAGCACGTGATGAACTTCGTTAAATGTAAGTTCAGTTTATACAACATAAATTACTCTCTCTCTATTTCGTTAGTTAATTCAAAGAAGGGGTGATTTTGGAGACCCGGTTGAGGACTTTTACCAAACATGGACTAGTTACAAAACTGGATTTGGAAATTTAACCAGAGAATTTTGGTTAGGTAATTGTTTTATTGTATAGACACAATATATATTTTTTCTATACTAAATAGCTTAAAACTCATAACATTATACATTTATATATATTCATCATATTGACCTTTTAGCAGTGCCTGACTAACAATACAGAAGTTACAATGACGCGGTTCATGTGCACTCATGTTACTGTATCAAATAGCATAAAACTGACCTATGGTCTCGCAAAGTAACTTCTGTTGGCTGTGTTTTAGTAGAGTAGTATTTTGTAAAATACATTCAAATTTCAATTATTATACATTATATATATGTTTATAGATTATTGATATTTTGAAATAAGTTCTTAAATTTATTTTTATTAAAACATAGAACAGTAACTGAAGATCTGATGCAAACAATTATCTCTTCTAGTTACGACCTTTGTACTCGGTCGCTACTTGACGTAGGTTACTAAGCCTTTAAATAAATTGCACGTGGAGGGTATGAAACAAAATATTTATTTTAGGTTTTAGATATACATTTGAATAACTAAAAAATCATACATTACAACATTAATACCATAGAATTCCACTATAATTTATGAATCTTAGTAACTAAAAGATATTTTAGTCTAAAAAAATATGAAATTTTGATCAGACTAAAGACACACCTTACCTCGTTGAAATCTTGGTTCAAAAGAAATGATTGGCGCTAAGTCCGTCAAAATGGCTTAGAAAGCCACTAGAGGGAAATTCTGAGCTTCCAATTGGTTATTCATGTCCTATATAGTATCAAAATTTGAAGTATAATGATGTGGGGTGTCTTATCTGTCTGAAACCTGGATAATCACTGTTAACCTCCAGTAAAATAGTTTTAATAAATACGTCTTAAACACTGCTTGTTTTGAAACCGACATTGGATGTTCCTAAGTTTCTCTGTTTCTAAGACATTAATTCATGTGTAAAACGTCAGACACTGTTGAAAATACACTCTTGATATAGAATGAGGTTAAGAAATCTCCTGAAATATTGTATTTTAAAGTAAAACATAAATATAGTTTTTCATTTGAATCGTTAGAGAATAAGAAAAGACTTAACCCTTTCGAGACGGATCACGGGTGAAAGGCCATGTCATCTCGTTGTTCATTCACAATCAAAATTTTATTCAACTACTATTTCATGAATTGATGTTAATATTTTGGATATCAATCTGTACATGTAGGTCAAATATATCCGGGTCACAACCAACAATTAATCATGGTGAGAACGTGTTTATTACCAGACATCACTTGTTAACGAAGTTCCTGTTCAATAAGATTTGTTACGTTAATCTTGCTCTGATTCTGTCTGTTGTTATCATAATTTAGAAACCAAAGTATTTTGTTTGTCACTTACTAGAAATATAGAATGTCACTTTGAATCTATAGATCTGGTAAAGAAGGAAGACTACAAAACCAGATAAAGGTAATATACGTATTAACTGATAATACTTGGGATGGATATTCACTCTATTTACTGTAACAGACAATACATTGAATAATTATTTTGTGTTTTAATAAAACATGTTATTTTTGAAATTGCAAACAAAAATTATACGACTACATTTACTTCTTGGAAACTTAAATAATGGTTCAGTTGTAATATCTTAAAAAATGTAAATGTTATCTAACCGAAATAATCTGTTTAAACTTTGGGTGTGGCATCATTAGATAGGAATGGGAATTTTTGTATGTTGTTTGACACTTACTAGAAATGTAGAATGTAGCTTTGAATCTATAGATCTGGTAAAGAAGGAAGCCTACAAACCCAGATAAAAGTGATAGACGTATCAAAGTTTAATTTTAAATTGTAAATAAAAACTCTCGACCGTAGTGATTAAATAGTTAAATGTAAATTCATGAGAGACTAAAAAATTATTTGCAGCCACAATAAAAACACCGAGGAATAAATTATAAGGAAGATTATCATGTAATATATCTTGGTTTTTAGAGATACTGGCGGAAGTAAGACAGAGATGTCGTTGGGGGTACACCGTTTATGTAGTTTAAATACGCCGGCCTAACATGATTAAGAAAAATAATAATAGAAAATTGGAGCAATATGTGGGTGCTCTTGTTTGACTTTTTAACATTGAACATTACACAAGTGCCAAGGAATATTAAAAATACACAGTTAACATTTATCCTGCTGTTTTAAAGATTGTGATCTCTTCTATATCAAATACACTTTTTATGTCTTTCTGTTTCTTATAGTTTCATTAGTAATTAATCTACTCCCATTATTCTATAACTGATTAAGTTACATCCATATGTTGTAGCTATAATTGTAAAAACATCCTGAAATTTTTGCAAAACATTTTCACAGGAAGCAAACAGAAGAATATCATTTGTCTTAAGAAACATGTTCCGTCTTTGTTTTAAATAACATTATTTATATATTCTAAACTGTCAACCATATTTACTTTTATTAAAGTATTGAAAACGAAACATTGCTCTCCGTGTGTCACCAATAAGTTTAAGGTACTCTTATACTAAGTATCAGAATTCAATTTCCGTTGTGGAACAGCACGTGTTTGACACCGGATAACTTTCTGTTGGAGGTGTAGAAAATAAACAAACGGAAAGATATTATTTGATCTAGAACCGACGGAAACGTTGGATCTCATTATTTAATGGTCACGTAAATGCCCTTTGACATAATCTTTATTCATTTATAAAAATCAAAACGTTAGAAATGCCTTCAGGTATATCATTTAAGTTACTGCTAGTAAAACATTAAACTATTAGCTAAAGAAAAAACACCCATTTTTTCCAAAGAGTTATCAGGATACGGTGTAGTGTGTCACGCGGCCAAAACAACCTACAGGACCCACTGTGTGTTATTAAAGACGGCTGATTTAGAACAGAAAAACTCTAGGGTGTGACCAGAAAAGTATTGACTGTGCGATTTAAAGCATTGAAATAAAAATTAACTGTCAAACTGGTCGCTACACTTATAGAATTGATAATAATTTTACACCAAATATTCACTCATTAGTTAGCTAGGCCGCGTATTTTTTTATCCACCATCATGCCTCAAGTTGAACAAATAACGCGGCCTGAATAACTAGTGAATGAATATTTGCAATAAAATACTTATCAATTATAAATATGAATAATCAGTGATGAGTGAGTAGAGTTACTTCAGAGTTAGTAAAATTATTCACTCATAGAAGTGTGAGTTATTGCGTTTATTTTATTATTCAATTACTTGATCAAATAGCCGTGAAATTGTACAAGTAAGTTAGGCCTACATTCGCTTTGGAGTATATGTTGAAAAGTTCATGTAATTGAAGTTAAGCATACAAGTGAACATGGCTGTAGTAAACGTTTATTGAATATATAGCTGCCTTAAAGTAGAACATGTTACAAGAATGGTGGTAGCTATGGGAATATTTTAATGAAAATATAATAGATCTTAGAGTAAACTTCAACTTTCAAGAGGACAACAAGACGCAAGTCTTGAAATTTATAGGGAGTAGGGAATTTAACCTGATAGGATGAAAGCACGGTGGGGACTTTGTGGAACACGTGACCGTTTCGGTAACCGTAAAGACCTATTTATAACTGAAATTGAAGTGTCTTCTAAGGCTCTCTCAACAGTCAAGGTAGGAAGGATAAAGTGAACCAAACTCTCCTGAGGGATTAATGGTTGAATGATAATAAAAATGTCATTATTGGGGCTACAAAAGCAAGAAACCATTTATTTTGAGTCAAGTCTGGATAGGACATTGTAACAAATGAAAGTGTACAGCTAATACTTCAATATTAGAGAACACCGGGTCTAGTAACCTCTGACGTAAAATATAGAAAGTCTGGTGTCAAATCTTCAGATGAGGACAGCTTACAACCTCACTTACAAGAGCCGTATAATTAGAGCTGTATAGGTATTCCAGCTGACCTTATGACTTAGGCTAAATAAATAAAATATATCATAAGATTGATACTGGAGATGTAGCCCCGACATTTAAAAGAGTCGCAGGCTTTCGAGGAATTAGAAATCATGAAGAAACAAGGAGTTATAGAACCAAGTACTAGTACCTGGTCATCACTTATTGTACGTGTGAAAAGAAGAAGATAGCTTTATCCACAAGGTTTTGCATGGACTACGAGAAGGTGAATGTAGTTAGAAGGATGCCTACCCTCTGTTATGGATTTATTGTATTTTGAATACTCTAACTATACACCTGGAAAAAAGTTAAGCACCCCCGTGTTTTTTTCAAGTGATTCAGATTCGACGTTCTTGTGACTGAATAATGTAAAATCTCTGTTTCTTACAGCTGTAGGATATACAACAGAATTATAAGAAATGCACAAATTAACTTGTTCATTACCTTTCAAAAACTCGATCTGTATTTTCTATCTATCATACATCTGTTGTTCTAAGGACTAATTGAACTTAAACCCATTGTTTTGAACCTTCCTTGAAGAACTGAGAAAATAGCAATGCAAGTGTAATATCGTTCTTCGGTTTTGTACCAGACATGCGTGTTTTTTGTGCTTACGGAAGTCCAATCATGTAAGAAACTATTAATCGTAAGCTATTGAATAAATATATTGTTTCAAGCTATATTTAAGCTATTTTTTTAATATAGGTGTTTACTAGAGGACGCATAACGTCCAGGTCGAGAAATTTCGTGAAAGTTCAAATCGAGAAGTTTCGTGGTGTGTTTAGAAACAAGGGCACGAAAATTTAATCCTATACTCTGCCTTAAGCTTAAACAAGCTAGTACACGAGTTATACTTAAACAATTTATTGCTGATTGTTACTCGACGTTGTTATTGATATTGGAATTGTTTAAATTAGGAGTATTGTTTGTTTTTAATTACGTTTTTTCTTCTGGTTCCTTTTTCCTGATTCCTTTATTTATTGGAATAATTATTAACATTGATATTTATGATATATTGTTCATTAAGATTAGTATCAAGTCTTGGCCAGGCACGTATTTTTGTTACCTGTTTTTGATAAGTGATATGTTTCATATTTGAAGTGTTTGAAAGTTTAATTCTGGGTATATTGTGATTGTCAATGTTTAATATATTCATTTTTTTTTGTTAGACCCTGGTTGTAGCGGTTGTTTGTTTTAGTCAGTTATAACATTAGTTTATGTGTGTATAAATATAATTCTATATGTCCCTGTTGATGTAGTTTTTGTATGTTAGAGACTGTGTGAATATGTAATAAGAAACAATGGGTTATATGGATAATATAAAACTAACATTTGTTGGGCAACTGCGGCCCAACAAACAAACTTTATTTCAAACTAATATACATGGATAATAAGATACATAAACTACATAAAAAGTGACGATATATATGTGTCCTTTTCCAAATAAATATTTATTTATTTTGCCTTCATAAAACTCCAATAGCTTGTAGAAGAACGTGGGATTCAGTAAAAATGTGTCCTTTTCCAAATAAATATTAAATGGCGTCTCTGTTTGATTGTTTGAAGTTAAGCACAAAG